TGGATGTCACTGGTCGTCGCGTACCGGTCGTCGGTCGCACTCTGGCCCGGTCATGCTCGCGATGACCAAGTACCCGCGCGGAAGCTGAGTAACAACAAGGCGGAAGACTTGTATATAGAAATGCAGCGCGGATACAAACCGACTGCTTACTGTACGTACCGTAGCACAGCCCCGTCGCTCATGTATATAAGCTGCGAGTATTCACTCGGGAATGCTCGCAGAGTCAACACCAGTAATTCTACCTCATCATATTCTCTCTCTCTCGTGCGTCTCGTCCTCGACTCAATCACTCGAAGACCGGCGCTCTGCCATTAATATTACATACTACTTCTCTTCTACTGAGGACCTCGGCTCTCGGCGCTGCGTTCCTCGCGCCGTACCTCGCACCCTCTCGTAGTCCTTACACCTCTAGATTCTTGATATCAAATATGTCTTCTTCTTGTGCTCAGAATGATTTAGACACGAGTACTGGCCTCAAATTCTGAAGCCGTGTGAGAGGAAACGAGTGGCACTTCCATTTTCGTTAGACCCATTGCATGGTATAGTGTTCTGGGCTCGAGACCTCATGACAGCTATGCGAGGCAGGCCGCAGCTTCATCAGATGTACACTGAGGTGCACAATTCAAAAGCAGCACTCGAAAATCCTTCAAATGCGCTGATTACGGAGATGGTGTATCAGGGGGACTCCAATGACATGCAGGCTGAGGAATTGGACTATGCATACATTGATAATCAAACCAAAGACATCGACGAAGGGAGAGAGATTGGGACTGAGGACTCGGACAAAGATGGTCTGGACCTGGAAGACAGGGGAGAGGACGGCGGTGACTATATCTGCGAAGTCGAAGGATATGCAATATTATAGTTAAACAAGCAACTTCATGTGTTCATTTGAACTTCACCCTTGGAATCGTGGTTCCTAGGATGTGGTTACCAGACTCATGGATGCCGATCAGCCGACTCACCATCTGGTTGTGATTGCTTCCATGGACACTGCTAGACTCGTCACTCCATGCAATACCCAGTGAGCAGATCGATGTCAAACAATATGCCGCCATACTGTTGACGTCATGCATTGTCTTGCAAGCGGCAAATATGTTTGCATGGGTCACGAGACCTTATTTGCTTCGTACCTTTTTGCTGATGGACCTCATAGGTGTTTTGTTCGCGCGCCACAGTACCTCTGCTGATTTGTCAACGTAGTGAGCCCTGCGTGGTGATGAACAAAGAGTCGCGAGGAATGAAGCGAGAAAGTGGCTCGAAACACGGGAACACATAGCTAACTTACGCCAACGACAATGAACCCTACAATGCTACTATTGCTTTCAGCCGAGATTTCCGGTTCAGCGCCACAAGGACAGCGCCAGGCTCCGCAGTTTGGCTAGATTTCGCATTGATAGTGTAGCTGAAAACGCGTCCAATTTGTTCGATGAGCATCCTTCCCTCATACGAGCATTCAACAAATTCCTCCCTCCTGCTAGCCGTATCAATTGCACGCAAAACTCAAATAACCTCGACGGTGGCCACTATCACAACCTCGGCAGGTGCAGACACAAATGGCCCTCTCAACTTTGGTCCAGCTGCTTCAAGTGGTGTACAATCACTGTCCGGCGAAGCTCGCTCATCAAACGTAGAGTCAATCCCCGCCTACATGTAAAGGGTACAGATACAATTCTTAGTGTCAGACAAGTACTGGCACTTGCTGAGCATCTTTGCTCCGACAGGAACATCTAGCGGTGAGATTAGCGAGTTGGAAGAGTCGGCGGTGAGGTCTATGTCAGCGAAATGCATGCAGAGACGCTGTCGAGCATATTGACAAGCTCCTCGATCGTTACGCACCTGAGCCGGCGAAAGGCTTCGTCGAGGTTTTGCCAGACGTTAGATCGCAGGAATTTGATCTAGCGCAAGTAGCTGAGCTGCATGGATCGCAGGAAATCGGAATTCCTGGAAGGGAGACCACAGGCCCCAGGCAGAACGAGAGTGGGCCCCCTACAGACCTGTCACTTCGATTACTGAGGCAGGGTCCGGGCAGCCATCAAAGGAGATGGGAATGCCGGTCAATAGGAAGGTTGAACCACATGAGGTAAAGGCCATCTGCGGAGGCTGTCCAGAGCACGGTGGGCGTGTCTTGTGGCTCTGCCGACGCCAGCCAGAGGTAGAACTTGACAGCGTCCGTGGGTTCATGAAGGTGTTTCTACTCTTTTAACTACAACGTTGGCGTCCTGCGGTGTCTTCGTCATTCCGCATTGAGTTTCAGCCGCTGTGAATGAACAGATCATGCGATCGTGATCCAAGTACTCGATCGAAATGATCGGCATTCGCACTTGGCGGACGTTTTCACGGATTGCAAGTCCTTGTTCCCAACTTCCGAGTCTACTGATGCTTACTCCCTCAAACCATACGGTAGTTTTCTCAAAACCTTCACTAACGGCGTCTTCTCTATATGGAATCTTGGCCATGTGAACACGCAATTTGCCATCAATCACCGCTCGTTGGAGCCGCCTAGACGTCGGACACTGATATGGCCGTAATCAGGCCGCTTCCGCTGCCTTCGCGTACCCATATGCACTGCCAGCGCTACAGCGAAAATAGCTACCGTATTGCAGCATGAATGAAGTGTTCTTTGGCGCTCAATGTGGCTCTTTTCAACCCTGGCTCCCACCAGACCCTCTGGCCTCCACCTGCTCGCGCTCTGGGGTACTTATATCTGAGCTTAGCACTCGAGTAGACTCTCGGCACGACTGGTCATAATGTCTGCAACGCGGAACTCATCTGACGATAAGATCTACGAGGACGAGAAGCAGAAAGGTGGTGATGTTGAGACCCCCGCAGGACCACATGCAGAGACGAAGGACGTATATGACGAAGAAGAGTCAGGCGTCGACCCAATTTACCAGGCCAAGGCAAGGCTACTCAATGATGCGTTTCAGGAGATCGGGATGGGCAAATACCAGGTGTGATCGTCTTGTGGCGAATTAAAACCACTTTGCGGGTATTGATGAACGCAATCCTGTAGTGGTACTTGTTCATCGTGGCAGGATTCGGCTGGTTCTCGTCAGTATACTCTCAGTCTCTATCTACGATACCACTGACTTCAACCGTAGAGATAATCTATGGCCGGTAAGGCCACTCGACGAAGATTGTCGCATCGAATGGCTGAAACCGAACGTCTACAGATTGTAACTGGTCTTATCCTAGACCCAGTGGTCAATGAGTTCAATGTTCAAGGCCCTTTCTTGAAGCTCGGACAGAACATCGGCCTCCTTGTTGGTGCCGCATTCTGGGGAGTTGCATCTGACGTCTGGGGACGACAGTTAGTGATCTGTTCGCGTTGCTGACGTACGCTTTACTGAATCCATCACACTGGATGTCAGATGGTGCTTCAACATTACTCTATTCATAACCGGTGTGTTTGCCGTCGCTGCCGGCGGCTCCCCGAACTACGTCGCACTATGCTCCTTGGCCGCGGTATGGAGTGTCGGTGTCGGCGGGAACTTGCCTGTCGACTCAGCGGTCTTCCTTGGTATGCCGTGCTCATAGCGCGGGGCTGAGTGCTCGCTGAATTATGTTTGCGTAGAGTTTATTCCTGCATCGCACCAGTACCTCTTGACCATCCTGTCAATCTGGTGGGCGTTCGGCCAGTTGGTCGGCAGCTTGGTATGTCATTGACACTCAGAAACGTCAAGTTTACTCACTTTCGTTCTGACTAGGTCGCCTGGCCTCTTATCGCAAACTACTCCTGTGCCTCTGCCACCGACTGCCCACGCTCGTCCAACGAGGGATGGCGGTACTTCCTGTACGCCATGGGCGGGCTGATGCTGCTCCTCTGGGTGCTGCGCTTCTTCGTCTTCCACCTCTATGAGTCGCCGAAGTACCTGATGGGCCGTGGGCGTGATGCGGAGGCGGTCGAGGTCGTGCAACGCGTCGCGCGGTACAACGGGCGCACGTGCAGTCTGACGGTGGAGATGCTGAGGGAAGCAGGCGAGGTTGCCGCTACTGCGGAGGGAGATGTGAACACGATGGACACCAGTGCGTTGGCAGCGGTCATGAGGAAGATGCGGAAGTTCAGTGGGGACCATGTCAAGTCCCTCTTTGCGACGCGCAAGCTGGCGTACTCCACGACGTTGCTGATCACTATATGGGGTAAGCGAGGTCGTCTTTTGTGGGTGGTGAGGCCGCTGACGCCGATCTAGCTCTTATTGGACTTGCATTCCCACTGTAAGTTTGACGATCGGACTGAGCGAATTCCTGATACTGATCCGTGGCAGATACAATGGTTTCGTTACCTATTTGTAAGTTTGTAATACCATCGTCGATTATTAGAGAGTTGATTCAACTGGCGGAATATCCTAGTTTGCAGACACGAGGGGCTGACTTTGGTGACGGTTCCGTGTACATCACTTATCGCAACGTGCGTTCCACAGCCTGTCAGGACCAATCCGTGCCGCTGATCTATGGCACACATATAGCAAGTCATTCTTAGTGTCATCGGCGTACCCGGTGCCCTGCTTGCAGGATGGATGGTGGAGATCCCTTATCTCGGCCGCAAGGGTACTCTTTCCATCTCAACGCGTGAGTTTCCTTCCAGCTTTTCTCGCACTGATGATGGAATAATATGGTCATATAGTCATCACGGGCGTCTTCCTGTTCGCGAGTACCACAGCGCGCACCTCGAACGCCCTTCTTGGTTGGAACTGCGGCTACACATTCACGAGCAACGTGATGTACGGCGTGCTGTACGCTGTTTCGCCTGAGCTGTTCCCTACCAAGGACCGAGGCACGGGCAACTCCATCGTCGCTAGTGCAAACCGAGTCTTCGGAATCATGGTAAGTAGTCGAGTCTATAATCCATGGCTATGCTGATGGAGTATCGTGTCTGGCGCGTCAGGCCCCAATCATTGCGCTGTACGCGAACCTCGCGACGGCGGTGCCGATCTATGTTTCTGGTGCGCTGTTTCTTGTGGCGGGGCTTATTGCTCTGTTGCTGCCCTTCGATCCTATTGGGAAAGCCTCTATGTGAGAATACAAATCGCTGCTTTCTTGAAATCAGCTTCTCCTGTGATGATTCACCTGTCACACGCGACGCTTGCAATTGAATATTTGAGATGATATTAGGTAGCAAACATCTGAGCATGCGTGGAAGCCGATGTGTAGTACAGTATTAACGTCTACAGGTCGCTGAGGACATTATGTCCGTCTTTGACAAAGTCGTCATTAGGCGTGACGGGAGACCACCCTAGATGTAGAGACCATGGGACCCGGTGTTCTTCATAAGCTAAGCTAAGGCACTTTCGGATCGTATGAGAGGGCATTGTCTACCGAACAGGATGCTCTCGGTCGTCAATCAGCTGCTATCCGGACTCATCTGCTCCTAGGCAGGCGGCCTCGTACTGCAGTTTCCGTGGCGGTCAGACATGCGCGTGTCCATCCTGAGCGATGCAAAGAAACGTTGACCATTCTATCTATTCTCCTCGCGTCCGCTATTCTGTCTCGATGACAAGGATTGCAAGTTGGTAACCCGCAGGGCAGTGGTTCGCTCCGCTGACACCCCACCGGTACCTACCGTAAATACAAGTGGCAGTCGTGACCTGCGGTATTCTACGTTTCCATGCACGAGACCGTGAAAATGCGGAGACCGACCATGACGATACTCACGTAGCCCTTGTAAAGCGTTAACTATCGACCTGGATTAGCGCTGTGCTATAACGTGTAGGGTGTTCGTCGTGTCTTCAATACGACCTATCTCTGCACGTAATTGGTATGTGAGTACTTACCGCGGGCCTCATTGGATGCAGTGTCCTTGACAGTTCACTTTCCACAGCCTTGACAGATTTACAACACACTGCTGTCACACTAATAGCGGCACTTCCTGCCTCCCAATTTTAGTACACGGTCACGCATGTTCTCGTCTTAGTTGCTGTGTCCAGCGTTGCAAATACTGTGACTACTTCTGCGGCTCCTCATGAAGCCAAAGTGCGTATCTTGATTTGTCTCTGCGTCGTCTTCATACTAATCTGTAATGCGCTTCATGGCAACGAAGTAATCTCCTCGATCTGAAACGCAATCTTGTATTTCTGGCCTAGTCTCCCCTAGGCAGCCTACAAATAGAGCACCCGTTTTGATGGCTGGAGGATGGTCACAACTCACTTGAGGTTTGCTTCAAGAGGCGCCCCCCGGACCGTAAGACAGCATTTCGAGCGTGTTGGCACTTGCCTGGAGTGCTATAGCAATTTGAAGTATTGTTAAACGTCATTGGGCTGCTGTTCCACCGCTGTTCTCGGCATGGTACTTGGATTCTTGGCCTTTGATAGCGACGCGCGAGCAATATAGTCACATGATCGCGTTGCACTCGGCCAGAGCCGAGATATGCCTGATGCAAAAATAAAGGTCGATCAAGTCTTCAGCTTCAAGTCGAAGGCGTTCACTTTTTCTGCTACTTTTCCTGTGCCACCTCATGTTCTCGTACTTTGTGCTTATAGCAACTCAAAAGTAACCTAAACCAGCCTTATTCGGCAGGAATGGCAGAATCTGCGTTTCATAACCCGCTCTCAATCAATCTGGCAAAGCAGACTCGACAACTCCTCGAGCTACTCCCGTCTAAGTCTTCATATGCTATACTTCTGGAGAACGCCAAAACGCGACCAGAACTTCTTGATACTGCATCACGGCTCCTCGCTGTCCCCGCGCTCACCAGCGTAGTCGCAAATATCTTCAGACCTCTTCTACTCGATCTATGTGCGCGGTGGTTACATGATGATGAGGACGAGGACGATAGGCTGGAGTCTCTGTGTTTTCTTCTGGAAATACAGCCAGAGACATACCCGTAAGTCTCTTTATGTGTAACGCTTGTTTCTGATGCACTGACACTGCCCAGGGTATTCGCTGCCTTCTTCCGTCGTCCGGGTCGCGAAGGGGGTCCTCTTGGTTTCCTCTCACAGGTAGAGTCTGTGGGTGACATCGAGACAGTCGTTCTACACCGCAGACTAGTTGCATACTACCGCATATTGCAAGCAAATAGAGCCTTTCCTCGAACATCTTCATGGCCGCTTGCGCCGCTGTCGAAGCTCATCTCTGCGCCCCTTCTTGATAATGGAGTGCGTCTCTTGGCCATACGCTGTTATGCGTTACAGGCAGGTATCATGGAAGGCGAACGGGTGAAGATGGAGAATAACGCCATAGGAGATGTTGAGTCGATCGACTGCCCCATTACATTTAGCACTCGCATGGACGGTACCAGAATACAAGTTGACGGATGGATCCTGCCCGCTGTGGAAGCCAAGCGAGTGGTCGACTATCGGAATGCGCTTTTACAAACCCAAGATCATTACTCATTTGACGGAGACGACTCACAAGAGCCTGTTCATCCGGCAGAATTGAGGTGAGCCCGTCACGTCCTTCTTACAATTCAACTTGCCCTGACATTTATGTAGTCCATACATCGTGAACGTACACGGTGTTCTATTACTCCGCGGATCGACCGCCGCAACACCCGACTCGCTTTTGATCGAAACCCCCACCACTATACAATCTCTACGAGCGCTAGCTCTTCACCACTCACTCAGAGTGCCAACTCTCTTGACCTCTCCTCCGTCTTGCGGCAAAGCGCTACTGCTATCCCATCTAGCGTCGGTCCTTCTTCCTGGTGTACGTAATCAGATTGTCTCGATCCACCTTGCCGACACTTCCCTCGATGCCCGCTCTCTCCTTGGTTCTTATGTCTCGTCTGCAACCCGTCCGGGCACCTTTGAGTGGAAGGAGGGTGTATTGGTTCGGGCGATGAGAGAAGGCAAGTGGGTCGTCTTCGAGGATATTGACAGAGCTAGCGCTGAAGTCCTTGGAATCATCAAACCCCTTGTCGAGTCCATTGGCATGGACAAGTGGATTGGGGAGCGGGCGAAGCTTGACATTCCCAATCGTGGGACAGTGGAGGCAGAGGACACCTTCGCTATTTATGCCACACGTTCGACCGCACCCTCAAGGAGCGGGGGCTTTATGCCTCCAACATTCTGCGGAGCACACAAGTTCCACGAGATGATCGTTTCCGCACCAACAATTGATGACTTGCGGACAATCATGGACACCAAATTTCCCAGGCTAGCTGGCATAGCTGCTCATGGGCTAATTCGCCTCTGGGAAGCGGTGAAAGCACTTGGCTCAGCGGCTTCCACTCGAGATGTTGGTCTACGAGAGCTGGAGAAGCTGTGCGTGCGTATCGACAATCTCCTGCCCTCCCAGCAACCTATGGAGATCGACGTTGTGCAGGAAGAGTTCTTGGCCCTGCCAATCATCTTCCCCAATCTTGCTCTGCGTGAGGTAATGTACTCGGAGGCTCGTGACGTTTTCTTTGGGGCAGGGTCGACCACTGCATCTGCTCGCACCCATATGGACACCGTTGCTGCTCTAGTCGCGGAGCATCTTGGAATTGCTCCGGACAGGCGAGACTGGCTTTTGCACGAATGGACGCCCGAGTACGATCTAGAGAAAGACATGAACGGCAACATAGCTGCTGTGCGAGTCGGTCGGACGCGTCTTACCGCACGCATCTCCAAGTCACCGAAGGGCGCATTTGCTCCACGTCCGTTCGCTATGCATCGGCCAGCTGTCCAGCTGCTTTCCCGGATCGCTACCGCCGTGTCCCTCGCCGAGCCCGTCCTGCTCACTGGAGAGACGGGCACAGGAAAGACCAGTGCTGTGACCCACCTAGCGTCGCTACTCGGCCGCAACCTCGTCGCACTGAACATGTCCAATCAGACGGAGTCCTCCGATCTCATCGGTGGGTTCAAGCCCGTCGATGCGCGCATTCCTGGAATGGAATTGCAGAACCGTTTCTTGGAACTTTTCGGCAGTACGTTCAGCAAGAAGAAGAATGCAAAGTTCGAAGAGTCAGTGCGGAAGGCGGTGCAGGATGGAAAGTGGAAGAGAACGGTGACGCTGTGGAAGGAGTCGACGAAGCTCGCGAAGAAGAAGATCTTGTCCAAGACTGTTGCGGAACAGAGGTGTGTAGCCCGGTTTTATCATACCATCTAGAAACTAACCCGTGCGTCCAGCGAAGCCACTACGCAGGACGGACAGTCACCTCGCAAACGACGAAAAGTGGAACGCGGTCTCAATGTGCCTGCCGCTGTTTGGGATGCATTCGAACGTGACGTTGAGGTATTCAAAATACAGCATGTGCATGGCAATAGCAAATTTGCTTTTGCCTTCGTGGAAGGTCTGCTCGTGAAGGCATTGCGATCCGGCGACTGGTGGGTCTTGTCTTGATCTACCGACATGTTGTGTCGCTCATTATCTACAGGATATTGCTTGACGAGGTCAATCTGGCAACTCCTGAAACATTGGAGTGCATATCTACGCTGCTTCAGGGTCCGACCGCCTCCATTACGCTGACAGAGCAAGGCTCCCTGGAGCCAGTGCCGCGCCATCCAGACTTCCGCCTCTTCGCATGTATGAACCCGGCGACGGATGTGGGCAAGAGGGACCTGCCACCCAATATTCGTTCGCGTTTCACGGAAATAGACGTCCCTCCGCCAGATGCTGACAAGGACACTTTGCTAAGTATCGTCTCTCAGTACATTGGTGGTTGCGCAGTCGGCGACAAAGGTGCTATCATGGACGTCGCTGAGTTCTACTCAGCGGTCAAGAAGTTGGCCGACGAGCGCAAGATTGCGGACGGTTCCAATCACAAACCACATTTCAGCATGCGCACTTTGGCTCGGGCGTTGACCTTCGCGGCAGATATGGCCCACGCATACTCTCTGCGAAGAGCACTGTGGGAGGGTTGCCTGATGACGTTCACGATGGTTCTCGATGAACCCAGTACGCGGATCGTCATGGAGCTTGCTCAAAAGCATATCCTCGCAGGTGTGCGCAATCCGCGTTCGTTATTGTCCAAGGATCCTATAGCGCCCCAACCACCTGAGGCTCATCTCAAGTTCGGTCCCTTCTTCCTCGAGCGAGGTCCGTTGCCCGAGGATCCAGTTGACGACTACATTATGACGCCCTCTGTCGAGACCAAGTTGATCGATTTGGCCCGTATCATTGCAGCGAGGAGGTTCCCCGTCTTGATAGAGGGCCCCACATCCAGCGGCAAGACCAGTTCGATCGAGTATCTCGCCAAAAGGTCTGGTCATCGGTTCGTTCGCATCAACAATCATGAACACACCGACATCCAGGAGTACTTGGGTACCTATATATCCGATCCGAGCACAGGCAAGCTAGTCTTTCAGGATGGCCTCCTGGTACAAGCTTTGCGCAATGGTGACTGGATCGTCTTGGATGAATTGAATCTTGCTCCCACCGACGTCCTTGAGGCTCTCAATCGTCTTCTCGATGACAACAGGGAACTTGTAGTTCCGGACACTCAGGAGGTCGTCCGTCCACATCCACACTTCATGCTATTCGCTACCCAGAACCCATCTGGATTGTACGCTGGTCGAAAAGCTCTGTCGCGCGCTTTCCGCAACAGGTTCCTCGAGGTCCACTTTGACGACGTTCCTCAAACAGAGCTTGAAACCATTCTTTGTCAGCGATGCCGTATAGCACCATCGCATGGAGCGCGGATCGTCAGCGTTTTCCGAGAATTACAAAAGCGTCGCCAGTCTAGTCGGGTCTTTGAGAGCAAGCACGGTTTCGCGACTCTTCGGGACCTCTTCAGATGGGCGCAACGGGATGCTATGACGTATCAGGAGCTTGCCGAGAATGGCTTCATGCTCCTTGCTGAAAGAACGCGCCGCGAAGATGACAAAGCAGTCGTAAAGGAGGTCATCGAATCCGTCATGAAAGTCCGCATCGACGAACAGCAGTTGTATGACCTACACCGCCCCGAGTTTGCTCAACAAGGTTTCCTAGGCTGTCCAGTGCCATCTCAGACACAACTGGTTTGGACATCGGCTATGCGACGTCTTTTCACACTCGTCGCTCGTGCATTGCGATTCAACGAGCCGGTACTGCTCGTGGGCGAAACAGGATGTGGGAAGACCTCTGTGTGTCAGCTCTATGCTGACTGCATTTTGAAGCGATTGCGCACAGTTAACTGCCACCAGAACACGGAGACCGCGGACCTCATTGGTGGCTTGAGGCCTATCCGGAATCGGAGTGCAATCGAAGCCGAAGTCATACGCGAATCGCTGGATGCCCTGCGCGAGGCAAATTTGACGTTCGATAGCGAGGATCCTCACTCTCTTATCGCTTGTATTGGTCGACATATAGCGTCTGGCACTTTGAGTCCAGTAGTCGTCGGACGTCTGAACGTCATTAAGGCCAAGCTGCAGCGGCTTTCTGTGCTGTTCGACTGGCATGACGGACCCCTCGTCGAGGCCATGCGCAATGGAGATGTCTTTCTTCTGGATGAGATATCTCTTGCAGACGACTCCGTTTTAGAGCGGTTGAACAGCGTACTTGAGCCTGAGCGCACGATCGTATTAGCAGAGAGAGGCGGAGATACTTTGGAAATCCCTCTCATAACGGCCACTCACGACTTCAAGCTAGTCGCGACAATGAACCCTGGCGGTGACTATGGCAAGAAGGAATTGTCTCCCGCTCTAAGGAATCGTTTCACAGAAATTTGGGTACCCCCGGTCACTGATCGTCAGGACTTCGAGGCGATTATGAATGGTTCATGGCAGTACGCTTGTTTCAAAGAGCAGACGGGTCTCATCCTGGACTTCGTGGAGTGGCTTTGTGCCTGCGCAAACGACCGGTCTATCCTCAACATTCGAGACATACTGGTATGTCTAGTAGTTCCTCTATAGTAGAAGATCTGCTTAAAGCAAGCAAACAGACTTGGGTTCAATTTTCCAACACTGTGTATCACTCTAGTTCAGAGTCTATGCCCGTTTATGTGATCTTTGTAAGTGGCCGTCATGCATCTGCCGCACGCGACTCATAGTTCTTACAGCATCATGCGGCGCACCTAACATATCTCGATGGACTAGGCTCCATGCCTCAATTCTCAGGATTCTCGCACGACGCATTACAGGATACGCGTTCTCGGGCTGTCCTCAAATTGCAAGAGCTCGTACCAGCGCAGGATGGCTTGGAACAAGTTGTACAGGCTGACCCTCATACATCCGTCCAGCTGGGATACTTCTCGATCCCACGAGGAGCACTGGAGACCCGACCACAGAATTTCAGTCTTCAGGCACCCACGACGCGGGACAACATGATGCGAGTCGTAAGAGCATGCCAACTGTCGAAGCCTCTGCTGCTGGAAGGAAGTCCTGGCGTTGGGAAGACAAGTCTCGTCACCGCGTTGGCCAATATATGCGGATATCACTTGTGCCGCATCAACCTCTCTGATCAGACAGATCTCTCGGATTTATTTGGATCTGATTTGCCTGTCGAGGGTGGTCAACCCGGGCAGTTCGCATGGAAGGATGCTGAATTCCTAAGGGCCTTGCAGGAGGGTCATTGGGTCTTACTGGACGAGATGAACCTGGCACCGCAAGCGATATTGGAAGGTCTCAATGCAGTTCTTGATCATCGCGGCACGGTATATATACCAGAACTAGGTCGTTCCTTCACACGCCATCCATCGTTCCGTATCTTCGCTGCGCAGAACCCTTTGCATCAAGGAGGAGGCCGCAAAGGATTGCCCAAATCCTTCATCAATCGTTTCACGAAGGTGTACATCCAGGAGCTCACATTCGACGATATTTTCCTCGTCTGTCGCAACTTGTTAGAGGACTATCCTGAGGAGCGCTTACGACGGATGATCCACTACACATCCCTTCTGTCGGACGAAATCATGGTCAAGAGGACCTTCGCTAGGGAGGGCGCCCCATGGGAGTTCAATCTCCGCGATGACCTCCGTTGGGGGGCCTTGTTACGAGCTGCTGGGCCGCAAGCGCACCCTGTCCAGTACCTATCGACGTTGTTCTTGCAACGGTTCCGGAACAGCAAGGACAGACAACATGCACTCCGCTTATTCGAGGAGACTTTTAAGGATTGTGCCGGGCGCATATCCTTCCATGATCCAGTTCGATTCCTGCTCACGCCGTCCCATGTTCAAATAGGCCAGTTCTTTTCCAGTCGAGTTGGACATGTCCCGCGCTACCGTCCTGGCCGACTTCTGCATACGCATTCAGCTGCTATGGAAGCAATCGGCGTGTCCCTCACGCATGGTTGGTTGACAGTGCTTGTCGGGCCGCGTGGGAGCGGCAAAACATCCAATATACTCACGATGGCCCACTACCTTGGCAAAGCCATCGACATCGTCGCTATCAGCAATGCCACCGATGCATCTGATATTTTGGGTGGATTTGAGGAAGTCGACGCAACGTATCGCACGCAGAGCGCTGCGCAAAAAGTCCATTCCTTCACCGAGCGGGTGTTCAGCACAGTCGATGGGTTCAGCCGTGAGGCAGCCGCACTCCATGATCTAGCCGGACTGGCTCTCGCGCACGTTGGATCGAAGGAGACAGCTCGGGAATACTTGGTGACTGCTTTAGCCCTCTTGAACAAAATGGACAATCTTTCGGCGCAAGAACGTAATAATCTTCAAGTTCTGCAAGAGGAGCTGAGGTCATCGGTAGAGTCCATCGATAAAGCCGGGGGCTTGGAGTGGGTAGATGGGCCACTTGTGCGGGCACTCAAGCAAGGCTCCTGGCTATTGCTCGATGGTGCGAATATGTGCAACCCTTCGGTCTTGGATCGACTGAACTCGCTCTGCGAAACCGACGGAGTACTCATTCTGAATGAGCGGGGTCAGGTCAATGGACAAGTTCAAGTCATCAAACCACATCCAGAATTCCGCCTTTTCATGTCTGTTGATCCGCAGTATGGCGAGCTGTCGCGAGCTATGCGCAATCGTGGTGTTGAGGTTGCCTTGATTGAAGACTCGACACCAGAAGACTGGCGACGGACGCTGGATCATGTCCGCCTGCCTTCTAGCCTTGACACGCTGGAGGTCAAGACCGCATCATTCACATTCGAGCAGGTGCGACGTGGGGTCAAGAATGAAACGTCTGTGTCGTCATCTAGTGTTGCGCCGTCAGGTAGTAGCACTCTTGAGGGTCAAGATTGCTCGTCGTCTTGGCTGTCCGGCATAGTCCCCACCCTCGCGGTCAGCACTCCAAGTAAACCAGTGATCCAACGTAGCCTGGCGTACTTCACCACTAACGTGTCGGCCCCTTCCCATACCCCGTTCTTGGTTCGCCTTTTGCGTTCACATCAAGGCGATCCTCCTTTGGCCCAAATATGGCAAGTCGTTGCAGATTGTCTGCCCAGCTCACGCATGACAGCTGAGATCCTTCGGTTTCAAAATACTCGCTGTCACTCTCACGGTTCTCACCAGGAATTGGCTCCTTTCTTGGTCAGTGCCACTCTCTTACATAAATCATGTAACTCTAACCGCTCGTTCAACACTGCCAGCCATATGATGCCGTACCCGCTCACTTATTGGTACCAGAGAACACGAATGAGGTCAACACTCTCTGGCAGGCGCTTCGACTCTCCGTCACCGTCCACCTCGACCGCGAACATGAGCGGGCTCATCCCATCACACGTTTTCAGCCGATGTCGTCGGTCACCAGGCGGACAATCACCGAGGAGAGGCACCTCCAGGTTGCAAGTGCAGCAAAGCGTCTGTTGGACGAGATACGATCCACCGCTCAACATAGAGTGAGCCCGCTCGAGGGTGCTTTCAATACAGCGGAAGTGAGTCAAAACACTACTTCTTGGTCCGACAAAACCTGATCTCATAGCCTCCCAGTCGCAGATTGTGCTACTGACACAGCTTCTTACGTACGGACATTTCCTCCGGGAGGCGGCGGCGGCTGTACCCATCGATTATTCCGCTGTGCAAGTTGCCGCACGGTGGATACAAGAGTCCGTCCAAGAACTGTCTCGTTCTGAAGACATTGTCTCATGCTCCAACATCCTAAACGATGCCGTATCTCCCAAGACAGGTCTTGGCCTGAGGGAATTGTGGATGGCGCTTCGCAATCTGGAAGCTCAAGCTCACTGCAATATGGAAGTGCAACGCCTGGAGGCAATGGCTAACGTTCTCACTAAGGATGAGAAGCACCTCGGTATGTTATCTTCTGGCCTGGCGCGCTCCTATCTGATACACCATGCAGATCGTCGGTCACATATTCTTGAAGTTATGGCACTGTGGACATTGCCCAAGCATCGGACAGATGCCGAAGAGATCGAGTTGAAGGAATTGACGGACCGGTTATTACAAGTGAGTTCCTACGCTGTGTTGAAGCGCAGCGTGGCTGAATAGATTTAAGCAATATCCAGACAGCGAGCAACCAACCGATGCTGGGAATGGCCTGTCGCATGATGTTCTCGTCGCTGAGCTGGACGTCCTTATTCAGATCCCGATGGGTGCCGATTGCGTTGAACAAGAGGTAGTGTCACTGACTTCTATGGACGAGTCGTCGCGTCTTACACGAATCATAGGCCGGCTCCCCAATATTGAAAAGTTGGTTAGAATTTGGCTGCAGATTCGTCAATCTATCCCGTTTGGTTCCTTATCAACAGATCCTATGGGCACAGGCAAACAGAGAGGGTAAGTCCTTGCAACAAGATACGTGGAATCTACTTTGACAATTCGATGCAGCGAGGGCACAGTGCATTGCAAGGATCCACGCGCAATGGCTCGAGAGTATATGGCATGTATCTCCTGTGAGGAATGTAAGTGATCCATCCCAATCTGCACAATATACCACTCACCAGGGGTCCCAGGCGAACGGGCCATCCGTCTTATTTTTACCTATAGAACTATTCGGTATAGTCCATGACTGGTACATTCTATCCCTAACAAATACCACCTCTACTGACGAATATACGCAGCTCGCTTAAAGAACGCAGTCTGAACACGCTGCAGCAATATGAGCAGACTATGCTTCGTCGTCTCGACTTGCTGTCTGCGTCATCGTTCATAAGAGACGCTACTCGACTAGGGCAAGTATCGGCTCTGTTACTGCGCGAAGTCTCTGCAGTACGTGGACACCTTGTTACATTGTGACCGTAACTGACTTCTCCGACAGTTGACCGTTTATTATGGAGGATCATCCCCCGTAGTCGAGGATGCTACGCAAGGGATGAACAGTGTGACTGTCCTCAACATGATCGGTCGCCTCGAGTGTGTACCGCATGTGGCCTTGGCGGAATCATGCAGGGAGCACCTCCTTCCCGCCTTGCGGAAGTTGCATTCCACCCCTCGACCACAGATGCTCGGCGAATTAGGCCGCTCCTGGATCGCGCTGGGCCAGACTATCCTCGAGATCTATGTCCCCGACGTTCCGGTCGATCCGGCAGCAATACAGAGATGCGCTAACGACTTCTGGAGGGGCCAGGCGGAGACATTCGCTGTTCAAATCGGTCTTCATGAGAAGTATGAAGAGCGGGTCAGTGGGCGCAAAAGTAGCGTCTCAATCGAGCTGTTGAAGACCATGCTTGCTGATGCGGAATGTCACGCCGCTGCGAACCCCTTGCACACCGACACTCTCCGGAACGATACAGCGCAATTGTACGCCTTGTGGGCAGAAGTCACGCAGCTGATGGCGCAGGTGGTCTCTACAGTCAAGATTCAATCTATCTTGGAGGACATTGAGTCGCGGCAAGCGCAGTCTCTCATGCGTGAGGCTGCTGTTCAGGAGTCTCTCAATGCTTTCAGTCAACGCCTCCGTACTGTCTACCCAGAATACCGCGACATTTTTGGACCCGTCCTCCTAGCCATCTTGTACATCCGATTTGGATTGCGTCTCGCAGCAGAAGCACCTCAGCATGCTGAACGCCTTGTTGATCAACATGCTGATATCATTACCGCTTTAGTGGCATTTCCGTCGGTCAACAGTGCCGCTTTGTTGCGAGAAGATCACATCCCGTCCTTGCCCGATATCACAGCTACAGCATTACTCGCAAAGCTCTCGGGCATTGTCTTCGATGCCAATCTAGGAGTGGACGTGCGCGCTCATGTTCAAGAATTAGAGACGCTATACGAACAGATATTTGGTCTATGGTCAATTGATCGTGCGAAGGCAGAGAAGGCGCAGCGGGAAGGGCAGTCCCTGTATCGTCAGAACAAACTGACTAGCGATGGAACTAGCGATGCGGAACTAGAAGAACAAGATTTCCTCTCCATTTTCCCCCAGTTCGGCGACGTTACCAGCGTCGACGAGCTGTCTGATCCAGACGCCCCCTCTAGTACACATGCACAGCCCAAGGCTTCTATCTCCTTCGACGCTAATCGCACGGTGCAGCTCGGCGGACTCCATCAGCAGCTGTTTAGCCGCAAGAACCTGGGTGGCTCGTCTGCAGAGTTCTCGACCATCTTCATGAACCTCAGGCACACTCTCCTCACCTCCATCCTTGACTCCGCCGTAACTCAATTGCCAGAGAAACTCGACATCGACAGCGTGCCATACCAGCTGGCCTTGCTTTACAACAGTCTCGGTGGTTTACATGGCAACGGACAAAACACCATGACGGCGCCTTACAATTTTTATCTCGACGCCAATTTGCTCGAAACGCGAAAGGCTCTCCAGACGCTATCTACCCTGGGCCAACGTCTTGATACGTTACTTGAAGAGTGGCCAGATCAGATGGTTCTTCAACATCTTCGATTCCGCTGTACGATGATCCTCAGTTTTGATCTCTCAAGCCCCGTCGCCAAGATCCTATCTGCCGTAGAACACCTCTTGCTGCAGCTCGAAGATTGGGAAATGTACGCTAACAGGACCAATTCCTTGAGGAGCTACCAGCAGAATCTGACTGTCCTGATTGTGGAATGGCGGCGGCTGGAGCTTGCGTCCTGGCAAGGGTTGTTGAAAGCCCAATTCAACACATTCGCGGATTGCGTTCACGATTGGTGGTTCAAACTCTATGAAGCGCTTGTCCGAGGTTCCATGACCGCCGCCGCCGAAGAAGAGGCTGGACGCGTCGATGCGTCGACTCAGTATTTGAATGAGCTGGTCCCACTCATAGACGATTTCATCACGTCATGTCCGATTGGCCAGTACGAATCACGTTTGCAACTCCTCTCCAGTTTCGCCACCTTCATACATCATCTACTCGCGGATAAGGCCAAATATCTGAACAGGATGCTTTCCCGGGTCTACCGCATCATTCAATTCACTGTGCATCACTTTGAACAGTTCGTACCCACCGTACAATCCGCCCTGGCCGCCCGGCAAGGCGAACTTGAGAAGGAGATCCGAGACTACATCAAGCTGGCAAGTTGGAAGGACATCAACGTACACGCCCTCAAACAGAGTGCACAGAAGACTCACAGACAACTCTATAAGAGCATCCGCAAGTTCCGCGATGTCTTGCAGAAACCTGTAGTCGATCTTCTGAAGATCCAGCCCGATACTGAAGGAGCACGCCGTCATCAGCAAGTGGAACAGCCCTTGCGCTTACACGCAACGGTCAGCTCCTTGCCATCAATGTCCTCGACCTCCAGCCTACCTCCACACCTGGTGAACCTCGACAAGACGTATAGAGTCTTTGACAGCGTCGTCGCCTCCCAGGTCTCCGCAAGCTCCCGAATATTACAATCCGCTGCTCTGCATGACCTCGCTGAAGAGATTATCACAACATCACGTACGCTCTCGAAGGAAACTGTTTCTCAAGCTGGCACCGCCCAGCAGCGTATCAAGATGCTGAAGGGGTTACTCAACCGCAAGAGGCGAGCCTGGAGCAATCTGCTCAAGGAACTCAAACGCATTGGCCTGGCAGCGAACGTGAAGCCAGAAACACTGGCGGATCTGCGCAGCCTGCGCTGGCTCAGGGAGCAGAAGGTATCATCTGGAGACAATGTTTACTTGTATCGACTCGCGCATCTGCTTCCTGACCTCAGGGCAACTCTATCGAGCCATCACGATGATATTCAGACTCGGGAGCTTCAGCGAGGTGTGCTCTTGCTCGAGTCTGGCTTTACGATGGGACTGGATACTCAGCGCTGGTACGTTTCGTCGATCGATTGTGTTCTGTGAATTAAATGACGAGCCAATATGCAGGACTGCTGAAACTGAGACCGTCTTCTCGCACCTCCAAGGGCTTGTCAAACGCCTTCATCAGATACACGCAGAAAATATTGTTGATTCCGGCGCAGCAGTTCTGGACTGTGCGGTAGAGCATAAAGACATCATATGCAAACTCGTCAACGCGCTAGAGGAATTAGAACAGCGGCTCTTGGACCATCAGGCTCACAGCTCACGCGCCAAGGTTCCTCAAGCGGTTCTAGGCGATGTTCGGCAATTCATGAGCTCGTCTGGGAAACTGGCTGCTCGCCTACTCCAACTTGTCGCTGTTCTACAAAGTACGACGCCGCCCATTCTCCTTGAAGGTCTGTTCATTTTCTTCTGTCTCTTATAATGCGCACTTAATTGGCCTGCGCAGAGGAGGATAATCTGCTTAGGCAAGCATCTCAGCACGTTGCAGAGACGCTAACTGCCCTGGACCGATGGGGTTCTTATGGCAATCCGATCAGTTACCTCACGAAGCCTATCGGCGCATGGCTGCGTGGCATGTGTCCCACTCAGCTACTCACAGAAAAAGGAGCATCAACGGACAGTACTGCTTCATTGATCGACACGGTGTTGCTTAGCATGCAGGCCGTCATGTCTGCATTCACCACGGAGGAGTCCGCAGAGGCACAAGACCAGGACAATTATGTTCGCCGCAATCGCCGTTGCATTGCACATTCGAAGCGCGGTCTTAACCTCGAAGCCATAGTCCAACACGCTACCGCTGTTATGAGAGAACTCCCAGGTTGTCCAGACGGCGAGAAGCAGAACAGAGCCGGCCGCATCCTGCCGTTTCTGGATCGATTCCTTGAATTCGCGGAACATCAGTTGCTGCGACAGCGCGAATGGACGAGGGCTCTTTTCAAGCTTGACTACGTAACTGCTTCAGTCATGCTTACCATTGCGAGGGAAGGGTTCTGCAAACCTCCTGACACTGACGGAGCCGCATCTGGTGGGGAGGGTGCGGAATTGGAGGCGGATGGCACAGGCTTGGGTGAGGGTGTTGGAGACAAGAACGTCAGTAAAGAAATCGAAGACGAGAGTCAGGTCGAGGGTCTCAAGGACGAAGGGGATGATACCGATGGAGAGGCCGAGAGAGCGGAAGATGCTATCGAGATGAACGAGGACATGGGCGGACAATTGCAGGATGTTCCGGATGCTGAGTCCGAGCAACAAGAAGACGACAGCGAGGAACAAAACGATGAGGATTTGGACGAGCAGATAGGCGACCTTGATGCGCATGACCCTTCTGCTGTGGACGAGAAGCTATGGGGAGATGAAACTGGGCCGCAGGACTCCCAAGACGGAGGGAAGAGCAATCAAGATCACTCTACCACTGACGGGCCCTCGGAGATGACAGAGAAGGATGAAAGGAGCAATAAGAAGGATGCGAGACCGGAGCAGTCTGATGCCGCACCTCAGCCAGATGCGGAAGATGCGGACGGGGATGAAGAAGAAGAAATGGAACAGGACGAGAATCATGGCGGAGGATGGT